GGGGTTTTGGTGATGTTTAATGATAACGTACACAGTGGCAAATCATGTAAACGTTTCCGATAGTTACACCCGGTATAAGTGAAATCATCTTGTCATGGTTTTAGTAACGTCTGGTTTCCATAGTGACGTCTATTTTCCCAGATGATTATCTTGCTGGTTAATTGCATTACGTTGTACGGTCCTGCTTTGTATTACGATGGACATTTCCCGGTTGTCTGCAGGAAGTACCCTTCCGTGTCCCCCGTGAAGAGGAGGATATGGTTCTTCCATCATTCTTCTCTTCATGGGGAATAAAGAAAATATCCCCAAATCCACCCGCACCCCTTTCAAGTCTTAATTGTTGGTTATGTGTTTAGATGAAGCTCTGAGATCTTGAGGAATGCTGAATTCAGTTTTACTTCCTTAGAAGGACATTACATCAGAATACAGCATAGTAGAGAAAACATATATACACTATATTGCCAAAAGTATTGGTACGCCTTTACACGCACATGAACTCTAGTGGCATCCCAGTCTTAGTCCGTAGAGATCAGTATTGGGTTGGCTCCGCCCTCTAATGGCATCCCAGTCTTAGTCCGTAGGGTTCAGTATTGGGTTGGCTCTGCCCTCTAATGGCATCCCAGTCTTAGTCCGTAGGGATCAGTATTGGGTTGGCTCCGCCCTCTAATGGCATCCCAGTCTTAGTCCGTAGGGTTCAGTATTGGGTTGGCTCCGCCCTCTAATGGCATCCCAGTCTTAGTCCATAATCCCCCCTCCCCCAAACATTACACTTGGCACAATGCAGCCAGGCAAGTACCGTTCTCCTGGCAACCGCCAAACCCAGACACGTCCGTCGGATTGCCAGACAGAGAAGCGTGATTGGTCACTCCGGAGAACACGTCTCCACTTCTCTAGAGTCCAGTGGTGGCGCGCTTTACACCACGACATACCACGCTTTGCATTGCACTTGGTGATGTGCGGCTTGGATGCAGCTGCTCGGCCATGGAAACCCATTCCATGACGCTCTCTACGCACTGTTGTTGTGCCAATCTGACGGTCGCATGGAGTTTGGAGGTCTGTAGCTATTGACTCTGCAGACAGTTGGCGACTTCTGAGCACTGTGCGCTTCAGCATGCGCTGACCCCGCTCTGTCATGTGATGTGGCCCACCACTTCCTGGCTGAGTTGCTGTTGTTCCCAGTTGCTTCCACTTTGTTATAATCTCAGTAACAGGCGACCGCGGCGGAATATTTAGTAGCACGGGAAATGTCACGGGTGGACTTATTGCACAGGTGACAACCTATCACGGCGCCGCGCTTGTAGTCACTGAGCTCCTGAGAGCGACCCGTTCTCTCACCAATGTCTGTAGAAGCGTCTGCATGCCGAGGTGCCTCGTCCTATACACCGGGGGCCATGGAGGGGATTAGAACACTTGGAGTGGGAGGGGCCCAATACTTTTGGCAATATAGTGTATATACAGATAGAGCTTCCTGTGTATCACAGACATGCATATATAATCATAGAGACCAACACTGCACCACAACGCCATCTAGTGCCCAAAAGACATAACAGAACATTAGCATAAGCTGTTGTATTTCGAACATTAATATGATAATATGCTTTATGTTCACTTGTTATGTAAAGCTCACGAACCTCTTTGCGTGTCTTATTCTAGACTCCGTGTTGGAGAAGAACCCTCTCCGCAAGAGACAGGCAGAGAGCACAAAGACACTCGTGGCCAGAGACTACAGACTGACCTCAACCAAAAGGCAGAGTGCCGAAAAAAGCGAACAGTTGTCACACACGCCGAGCCGCCGCCTGAATGTAAAAAGTACCTCTTTTCCAAGTCGGCCAAGCCCCGTAACCAAAGAGTTTCAGAAAGTTAGCTCCGTCCTCCAGTCTCAGAGTCTAAGATATACCAAAGCATCCACAGAGAAAGCAGCAACGACGTTATCCTCAGGAGAGAGGAGAATCGAGAGGCGTCCTCCGACTGAAGACGTGTCCAAGAAGAGTAAAGTGGAAAACATCTCTCATACGTATTCTCAAGGGTCATCAAAAGCCATGCCGGATAAAACTGTGAGGTCACAAGCCAAGGAGCAGCCTTTAGATAAAATTGTTTACAGTAAACACGAGGCAGAAGTAACGGAAACTGAAGCTTTGGAAAATGGGTTTCTGTTGCCAGGTGAAAGAGAAATTCAGCAAAAAATTGATCATTTGGAGTCATCCTTAAAGACTGTTGAAGATCAACATCCCATCGTCCACGATGTTGCACTGGAAGATCAGCAAGGTTCTCTGAAAGTTGACGTCAATGTCCAAGACCTTCAGTCCAAAGCTCAAGAAGATGTTCACCAAACAGACCTTCCAAGTCAAGTCTTTGGAAACGTAGAAGCAGACCTGGTTGTTCAAAGCGAAGATGTTGTTACTCAAGTCGTGACATGCCAGACTGTCTTATTCGAAAAACAAGAAGTCGTGCAATCACTAGAGAACCAAAATATAGAGACAACGTCCAAGGAAGATGTCACGTGCCTCAGAATAGCTCAGGCAATATCAGAACCTTATACAGCAGACGCAAAGGCCGAGCTACTGGCCATAACGCCAACACACGAACAAGAACTCAGTACGACTCTCCTTCCAGCTGAACGAGAGGAACCAAAGGCACTTTCTTCCGATGTTGTGTGCGAATCTGAACCTTTGGCTCAACAGGAACAAGATTCTAATGGCCAAGTATCATTTGATCTTGAGCAAGCTATTGGTCTGTCAAGCGACGTCAAGGAAGACACCAAACAACGGGCCGATGGAAAGGACACTTTGTTGGTCGATCAAGGTTTTGAAATAACTGATACAGAGCAAGGTGACTCCAGTTTAGAAAAGGTGGAGACTGAAAGTAAACTTCAGGAGGAACAAGTCGTAGTAGACCAGCAGATCCTAAGCACGCCAAAGCAAAGCGATAACCAGGTATTCAATGATGAGAAAGTCATAGAAGATAAAAGCCAGGGAGAAGAGGAACCTGTTGGCAAATGTGACATTATTTTTGATGGTGCCGAGTCCCTTGAAACATGCTCAGATGGTGCACTGAACAGCTCACAGGTCAATGAACTATCAACAGAGACTGATCTTAGACAGAATACTGAGCCACAGAGTGATGAAGTAATAGTCTCACAGGAGTTTCATTCATTGAGTTGTGAAATTGATAATACTCAAATGAGGGAGCGTGAAGAAGAAACCACAACTGAGAATGAAGAACTGCAGGAGGACTTTGACCTGAAGCTTGCACAATCTGAAAGTCTTCTTGAAGAAAGTGAAGACTCTTCGAACACAGGGGAACAGGAAGAAAACCAGTTGAGTATCAAACAAGAACCTAAATATTTTGAAGGGGAAGTGAAGAAGAGTGACGTAGAGGAAAGTTCTCAAGAACATGATACAGAACAACCCAGTGAAACATACAGAAAGGAAGAACTTGCCGCATTACCTGAGGACATTATCCAAGTCTCTGAGGACAGCCAAGAACTAATCCAGGAAGAGCAGAAGAGTTTAGAACTGTGCAGTTCGGTACGAGAAAGTGAAATTTACGTTGAACGGAAAACTCAGATAATCTGTGTTACAGAACAAATTACTGAACAGTTTATCGTTGATGATAAAGAATTTGGCGATCACTTGGATGCTGAGAATTCGTATTTTCCTGAAGCTGGACTAAAGGAAATTCAACAAGAACTGGAAAGTCTGGAGTTCAGTGGCAAAGAAAAAGAGATTCGTGATATTCTTAGTACTGTAGAAGCTGATGGAGTGCAAATAACCAAGTTGGAGTCAGAAGAAGCTACAAGTCAGTTAAGTGATGATACTCAGGACACGGTCCAAGTATTTGAGAACATTGAGGATAGTCAGGATGTTAAGCTGGAAAAGCAGAAATCACCTGAAGCAAGAGATGTTGAACAGGACCAAAGCAATACTGAAGATAAAGTTCAGCTCGTAGATGGTATTGATGATGGTGATCAGTCAGTGGATAAGAGCCAAGAGCTGTTATCTAAGCAAGACAGTAGCATTGTGCCTGAAACTGAACAAGTGGACAGTCTGCAGTCTTTCCAAGAAGAACAAAAAGACACCGAATTGGCTCAGACTGAACAACAGGACAATAAGTTGAGCTTTGATGAAGACAGTTCACCACCTGAAACTAAGGAAACCATTTTTTCTGCAAGCGATGTGATAGAGGAACCGAAATTCGATGGACAATCTTCACTGTCCTTTGGTGGTGCTGAAAATGACGTGAATGCTAGTGTAGAGGAGCAAGCTTCAAGTCAGTTCTCAGAATTGAAAGAGGAGTTTGGGCAGACATATACCGAGAGTGTAGACTTAATATCAGAGGAGCTGAAGGGGTTTGAGCCAACAGTTGCTGAAGAAGGAGATGTCCCCACAGAAACTGATTTCACCGCATCTCTACAGAAAGAAGTTGTTGAACAACCGGCTGAAGAAGAACCTGAACCTCACATTACGCACGATGTCACAGATGCACCTACAATTACAAACAGGGTACAAGAAAACCAACCGGAAGAACACGAGTCAGAGGAAACTAAAACAATAGAAGAGGATGTTCAGTTTGATGAATCAGGACAAGCCTATCAAGAATTAGTAGATGCCGTTGCTTGTGCTCTATTAAGAGAAGAGGTGGAGCTGGAGAGCCCTTTATCGGCTGACAGAGTCCAGGAACCAGAAACTAGTTATGAGCACGTCAGTGATGCAGAGATCAAAGTAACTTTTCAGGATAAAAGTGAAGAAATAACCTACTGGACAGAGAAGGTTATACTACAAGAGAGCCGTCAAGTGGTTTCCACAAGCACCTATTCTGAGGAGCATGAGGTTGACACGCAACTGGTCCACCAAGCATGTGATCCTACTGACGTAGAGAGGTCAGCAATGACAGATCTAGAACCTGAAAGGAAAATACCAGAAAACGAGACAGAAGAATGTATTCCTGAAAGTGATAACGTAGACAGCGGTGATGTCAAACCTGTCAGCCAAGAATCAAAGGGCCCTGGTGCTGACCAAGAGCCAGGATTTGACCATGAGACCCTCTGTGACACGCAGCCTGAAATTACAGTTCAAAAGGCAACTGCTGAAGAGTACAGCAGCAAAGATACACAAGAAGAAACCAGTTATGACAATTATGAGGATGTTTCCAAAAAAACAGATACCACTGAGAATGAGGAGGAGAGTAAAGACTCCAGGGATCTTGAAGCTGACCAAGCATCAGAGCAGGACCAACAGCACGTCTCTGATGCAGAGACCAAAACTATATTGCAGGAGGAGAGCACAGAAGAATATTCTAGCCAAGATACCGAAGAAAAAACTAGTCAAGAGGATTCTGAAACTGTTTCCAAAACAACAGAGCCAGAACCCTTAGCGGAAAATGAGAAGGACAGTAAAGATTCTGGAAATCCCGAAGCCGACCAAGAGTTAGAACTTGACCAACGTCATGTCTTTGATACAGAGTCCAAAGTTATATTGCAACAGGAAAGCTCAGAAGAATATTCTAGCCAAGATGTTGAAGAAAAAACTAGTCCAGAAACTGCACAGGATACCTTGGCAGAAAATAAAGATTCCATGGATCCTGAAGCTGACCGAGAGGCAGAGATTGACCAAGAGGATGTCTCTGATTCTAAAATCTCCTATCAACAGGAAAGTGTAGAAAGATATACCAGAGAAGGTGCGGAAGAAGAAATAAGTCAAGTCAGTTGTGAAACTGTCTCTGAAACAGTAAAGAAAGACACCTCTGAAGAGAACGAAGAAGACAGTAAGGACTCCAGAAAACCAGAATCTGACCCAGAGCCAGAAATTGACCACGAGTCTCTGTCCGGTACAGAGGCCAAAATCACCTATCAACAGGCAAGTGTATTAGATTCTGACAAAGGAGCAGATGAGGAAATTCGTGAGGAGACATCTGAAGTAGTTTCAACAATGATAGAAAATGTATTTTCTGAGAAGAATGAGGAAGTTGAACAATTAGCGGCTGAAGTAGATGAATCTGCAGTACCAAGCACAGACCATGAAAGTCACACAACACAAATCAAGGCCGAAACATGCATTAGTGGGAAAGAAAACATTGCAAGTGATGCTGAACCAATCAGCCAAGAATCCCGAGATCCTGAACCTGACCAAAAACCAGAGCTTGTCCAAGAAACTCTCTCTGATACAGAGCAAGAGGTTGGCCCCCAACAGGAAGATGCAGATGACCATTTCAGCAAAGGCTCAGAAGAACAAACAACCCAAGATACGTTAGAAATAGTCACAAAAGTGACAGAATGGGTCACCAGAGAGGAAGATGAGCAGGATGGTAAGGATTTCAGGGATTCTGGGGCTTATGAAGGACAAGATCTTGTTGAAGAGCCCCCCTTTGACACAGAGCCACCATTTACTCTTGAGGAGAAAAAGGAAGAAGTATGTTTCAGTGAAGATGTAGAGGAAGAAATAAGACAAGAGACTGTTGAACCAATCTCAAAGACAGCAGAGGAGGACACCATGGTAGAGAATCAGGAGGACACTAAATATTCCAAGGATTCTGAGGCTGAGCAAGGGCAAGATCTTGTTGAAGAGCCCCTCTTAGGTACAGAGCCAAGATTTAATCTTGAGGAGAAAAAGGAAGAAGTGTGTTTCAGTGAAGATGTAGAGGAAGAAATAAGACATGAGACTGAAGAACCAATCTCAAAAACAGTAGAAGAGGACACCACTGCAGAGAATCAGGGGGACATTAAAGATTCCAAGGATTCAGTGGCTGAGCAAGGGCAAGGACTTGTCGAAGAGCCCCTCTTAGATACAGAGCCACAATTTACTCTTGAGGAGAAAAATGAAGACGTGTGTTTCAGTGAAGATGTAGAGAAAGAAATAAGACAAGAGACTGTTGAACCAATCTCAAAGACAGCAGAAGAGGATACCACTGTAGACAACCAGGAGGCTGTTAAAGATTCCAAGGATTCTGAGGCTGAGCAAGGGCAAGATCTTGTTGAAGAGCCCCTCTTAGGTACAGAGCCAAGATTTAATCTTGAGGAGAAAAAGGAAGAAGTGTGTTTCAGTGAAGATGTAGAGGAAGAAATAAGACATGAGACTGAAGAACCAATCTCAAAAACAGTAGAAGAGGACACCACTGCAGAGAATCAGGGGGACATTAAAGATTCCAAGGATTCAGTGGCTGAGCAAGGGCAAGGACTTGTCGAAGAGCCCCTCTTAGATACAGAGCCACAATTTACTCTTGAGGAGAAAAATGAAGACGTGTGTTTCAGTGAAGATGTAGAGAAAGAAATAAGACAAGAGACTGTTGAACCAATCTCAAAGACAGCAGAAGAGGATACCACTGTAGACAACCAGGAGGCTGTTAAAGATTCCAAGGATTCTGAGGCTGAGCAAGGGCAAGATCTTGTTGAAGAGCCCCTCTTAGGTACAGAGCCAAGATTTAATCTTGAGGAGAAAAAGGAAGAAGTGTGTTTCAGTGAAGATGTAGAGGAAGAAATAAGACATGAGACTGAAGAACCAATCTCAAAAACAGTAGAAGAGGACACCACTGCAGAGAATCAGGGGGACATTAAAGATTCCAAGGATTCAGTGGCTGAGCAAGGGCAAGGACTTGTCGAAGAGCCCCTCTTAGATACAGAGCCACAATTTACTCTTGAGGAGAAAAATGAAGACGTGTGTTTCAGTGAAGATGTAGAGAAAGAAATAAGACAAGAGACTGTTGAACCAATCTCAAAGACAGCAGAAGAGGATACCACTGTAGACAACCAGGAGGCTGTTAAAGATTCCAAGGATTCTGAGGCTGAGCAAGGGCAAGATCTTGTTGAAGAGCCCCTCTTAGGTACAGAGCCAAGATTTAATCTTGAGGAGAAAAAGGAAGAAGTGTGTTTCAGTGAAGATGTAGAGGAAGAAATAAGACATGAGACTGAAGAACCAATCTCAAAAACAGTAGAAGAGGACACCACTGCAGAGAATCAGGGGGACATTAAAGATTCCAAGGATTCAGTGGCTGAGCAAGGGCAAGGACTTGTCGAAGAGCCCCTCTTAGATACAGAGCCACAATTTACTCTTGAGGAGAAAAATGAAGACGTGTGTTTCAGTGAAGATGTAGAGAAAGAAATAAGACAAGAGACTGTTGAACCAATCTCAAAGACAGCAGAAGAGGATACCACTGTAGACAACCAGGAGGCTGTTAAAGATTCCAAGGATTCTGAGGCTGAGCAAGGGCAAGATCTTGTTGAAGAGCCCCTCTTAGGTACAGAGCCAAGATTTAATCTTGAGGAGAAAAAGGAAGAAGTGTGTTTCAGTGAAGATGTAGAGGAAGAAATAAGACATGAGACTGAAGAACCAATCTCAAAAACAGTAGAAGAGGACACCACTGCAGAGAATCAGGGGGACATTAAAGATTCCAAGGATTCAGTGGCTGAGCAAGGGCAAGGACTTGTCGAAGAGCCCCTCTTAGATACAGAGCCACAATTTACTCTTGAGGAGAAAAATGAAGACGTGTGTTTCAGTGAAGATGTAGAGAAAGAAATAAGACAAGAGACTGTTGAACCAATCTCAAAGACAGCAGAAGAGGATACCACTGTAGACAACCAGGAGGCTGTTAAAGATTCCAAGGATTCTGAGGCTGAGCAAGGGCAAGATCTTGTTGAAGAGCCCCTCTTAGGTACAGAGCCAAGATTTAATCTTGAGGAGAAAAAGGAAGAAGTGTGTTTCAGTGAAGATGTAGAGGAAGAAATAAGACATGAGACTGAAGAACCAATCTCAAAAACAGTAGAAGAGGACACCACTGCAGAGAATCAGGGGGACATTAAAGATTCCAAGGATTCAGTGGCTGAGCAAGGGCAAGGACTTGTCGAAGAGCCCCTCTTAGATACAGAGCCACAATTTACTCTTGAGGAGAAAAATGAAGACGTGTGTTTCAGTGAAGATGTAGAGAAAGAAATAAGACAAGAGACTGTTGAACCAATCTCAAAGACAGCAGAAGAGGATACCACTGTAGACAACCAGGAGGCTGTTAAAGATTCCAAGGATTCTGAGGCTGAGCAAGGGCAAGATCTTGTTGAAGAGCCCCTCTTAGGTACAGAGCCAAGATTTAATCTTGAGGAGAAAAAGGAAGAAGTGTGTTTCAGTGAAGATGTAGAGGAAGAAATAAGACATGAGACTGAAGAACCAATCTCAAAAACAGTAGAAGAGGACACCACTGCAGAGAATCAGGGGGACATTAAAGATTCCAAGGATTCAGTGGCTGAGCAAGGGCAAGGACTTGTCGAAGAGCCCCTCTTAGATACAGAGCCACAATTTACTCTTGAGGAGAAAAATGAAGACGTGTGTTTCAGTGAAGATGTAGAGAAAGAAATAAGACAAGAGACTGTTGAACCAATCTCAAAGACAGCAGAAGAGGATACCACTGTAGACAACCAGGAGGCTGTTAAAGATTCCAAGGATTCTGAGGCTGAGCAAGGGCAAGATCTTGTTGAAGAGCCCCTCTTAGATACAGAGCCACAATTTAATCTTGAGGAGAAAAGGGAAGACGTGTGTTTCAGTGAAGATGTAGAGAAAGAAATAAGACAAGAGACTGAAGAACCAATCTCAAAAACAGCAGAAGAGGACACCACTGCAGAGAATCAAGAGGACATTAAAGATGCCAAGGATTCAGTGGCTGAGCAAGGGCAAGGACTTGTCGAAGAGCCCCTCTTAGATACAGAGCCAAAATCTACTCTTGAGGAGAAAAATGAAGACGTGTGTTTCAGTAAAGCTGTACTGAAAGAACTCAAGAAAGTGATAAACCAAGAAGAAGAAGAAGGTTCATTACCCGAAATCAGAAAAGAAGATGAAATGAGTGGCTTTAACAATCCAGAGGAGACAACTCAGTTCAATGGCTACGAGCCAGTCGGCAAGGAAATGAAGGATCCAAAAGTTGACCAGGAGCCAGAATACGACAACGACTCCCAAAGAGATGAAGAAGAAACACACGGCCTGTCATGTGATGCAAAAGACGTAAATCAAGATGTTAATGCAGAAGTTTGCTTGACTGAGGATTATAGCACATCAGAAGAAAAGCAGATACATCAATTGGTGGAGAATGACGCTGAGCTTGAGCAAGACAGATTGACAATGGAAGGCACCAAGCAAGAAAATCAGTCCTTAGACAGCAAATTAGAAGACAGCGTCAGTGCAAGTGATGACACACAAAATATTGCTCAATGGGGTGACCCCGAAGCAACCATCCCAGAATCATTTGATTCTACCTATTGTATCGTGTTGAACGCTGAGGTGGAACCAGACAGTGCAGTCAATATTTATACGCAGGAAACAGAACTAGACTCCTATCAGTTCACAGAACCCAAAGCTCCCTCTCAGCAGGAAACTGAAGATGAGCACCTAAAACAATCAGGTGAAGAAAAGGAAGTAAGTGAAGAGAATTATGAAGCAGATTCCACAGCTAAAGACTATAACGAATCCGAGGAGACTGAAGAGATTGTTCCAGACCAAAAGGAACCAGAAGATGACCCAAAGATTCCATTTTCACTGACCATCATTCAAAACAATCTTCGATTCACAAGTGAAAACAATGCTGAGGCCCGGCCTGAAAAAGAAGAGTGTGAGTTGTCTACAGACGGCACAGATCTGGTTCTTGATGAAAAGGAAAGTGCTGATCTGCAAAACGATGACATCGACCATGAAAGCCTAAACAAGGAAGAAGCCATCTTAGAAGACAAAGATTTCACAGAAAGCAAACAAGAGGATGAAGACATTAAAGAGAAGGAAGAGGAAATTGTAAGCGAACTTTCCTACCAAGTATCAACAGAACTTAATACCCAGATTCCAGGAGACCAAGCAAACTTTTTGGAAACTGAAACTAATGAACAAAGAAAGGAATCGGCTACTGCTTCCGAGACAGAAAGTGAAACCATCCTTGTAGAACAAAGCATAGAACAGAAACTGAATGCTGAGATCCCCACCTTGGCTTCAGATTTTGAAGGACCCACAGAGGAGCAGAGTGAAATTGAAGATGTGCCTACACCCAGCAATCTAGAAGAAGACAACTCCAAATCGGATGAATCCCTGGACTCACAAGACATCTCAATGTATTCTCAGAAGAGTGAAGACTTTGAAATCAGCAAAGATTACCAACTAGAGCAAACCCTCCCGGATTCAACACCATTGCCCAATCTTGATGAGGAGTTTGAGGACTTAGCAGAAGATAAGGTCATCCTCACCTCAGGAGAAGCTCAGACGGTTGCAGGGTCTTTCTGTCTTCCTGAACTGAAAGAAGAAGTGTTAGATTCTAGTTTGGAGTCGCAGTCTTCACAAGTAGCCACAGAGACTGGAGCTGAGGAACCTAAGCAAGAGTTGGCGAATGTTGCTGAAAGCTCTTCCGGGACATTAGATGAAGTCACTTTTGGTAACAAGCACTTAGAAGCTTCAGAAGTCAGCAAAGCAGAAAATACAGAATCAGACGAGTCCTTGAACTCACAAGAAGAAATCTCAATTCCCTGTGCAGACTACCAGTTGGAGAAGACACTACCCGACACTACACCTTTATCTAAGCTCACCGATGGATCCGGAATGTTGGCAAAAGGACAGGAGATCTCAGAACCACCACAAACTGATGATGTTAAAGAAGTTCAGAGCAATATTGAACAAAGCGACTTAACGGCATATGAAAGTGAAAAGGAAGCTGAAAGTGTATCTGAAACAACAGAATTATTTCCTACAGCAGAAGACCCGGAGTCAAAATTAGCACCTCCTCTCAATATTGATGTAACTCGGGACGAATCCACCTACAGAATTCCAGAACAAAGTGCAATTATTTCTGGAGATGATAGGGATTCAGTAGAGGAAGAAGAAGATCAATGGGAACTGATAACAAAAGAAGAAATCTCAACTGGATCTGTTACTGACAATACCGAAACGGAGGAAGCCATAATCTTAGGTGACCATAATGGTGACCTTCCTCAGGATCAAAGTGATGAAAGTTACGAAGGACTAAAGACCACAAGTGATGAGCCTCTTCATGAAGAAAGTAATCGAGATGATTTAGAACTCATTGAAAAGACTACGGAAACAAGTGTGGCCTTAGAAAGTGACCGTTCTATAGCTTCAGATGAAACCACACCAAACGTGACAGCTATCGGCCATGAGACTGATCCAGAAGATGACAAAGGTGAGGAAACTTCTGACGTTAAAGTGAAAGAGATCTCTGATAAAATTGAAAAAGTTGTATTAGCGAAAGTGGAAGATGAAGCAATACTGGCCACCAAACCAAGTCAAGAAGCTAGTCTTCCCGAACACATAGAATTTCACACATCCGATGAAGAGAAAGACACCACCGGTGAAATCAGTGACTCTTCATTCGACTCTAACAGCGGCAATGAGAGAGAAGCAGCCGAAGACCAACATTCTTCACCAACGGAAAGTAACATTTACGTTAAAACGGTGAATGGACTGCACGAGGGTACCATTGTGCAAGCCACGCTGGACTTAGAAGACCTTCTGATCAATGGACATTCCACGGGTGAACAAAGCAAAATAGTCATTTCTGAAAGGAAGACCATCGTAAAAGTGGAAGAGGACATCATAAGTACCCACACCCAGGATATTATAGAGGAGTCTGTTCTCAAATTTGCAGCCTCAGAGTGCAAGAGTGAGGGCCTCTTCCAATCTTTACTGGAAAAATCAGAGCTGAAAGAAGGTACCAGGCTCGATGAACCCTCTGCTGTTGAGTATGTGGACTCTGCCACCGACGAAACCAATTATACCAAGAAAACCATAATGCCTTACCTTCGCGATAGTGACTTCACCAACCAGGCCGAAATACAGCCTTCCCTGGGTGATGAAGGTCTCATTGTTGACACAAAGCAGCAAACTGTCCAGACCCACCAAGAAAGAGACGACGCGTGGTCGTCCGACGAGTAGACCGGACTGTGTTTTTCTGTTTGTGAAGGAGCAGAAACTTTATTTATTTCTTGGTTACGGCGACCATGAACGATTTTTGCCCGTTTTAAGAGAAAACAGCCGGTGCAAATGTATGGGAATGTTTCCCATGGAACCTGTGCTGGTAAAGTTACGCGAGGGCTGGAACTTGTCAACAGATCCATATTGCTTCATGGACTCGAAATCGAGAGGCCGCCAACAGATCCAACTTTTTTATATGAATAAGACTGGTCAAGGAGACGGCTGTACAACGTATCTTGTGGATCGGCGGAGCGGCACGCGTGTGAGAGTTTTCTTTTGTTTTTGTCTTTTGCGTGGGTCCAGTGGGCACAATCTTCAAAGAACATTCAAAACGCTTCAGATCTTTAAGAGGAGAATTGCAATTGAACTCAAGTGACCTCTTTCTGCGTGTACTGCCGATGAAGTAATTGCTTTTTTTAACTTGTATGCGGACTGTTTTATGAAGTGCCTCACGCGGTCCGTTGCCTCCATTGTGTATGAGCGGCACATATTTACATATCGTTATTCTTCTGTTGCTTGGAACTTAAGATTCCATCCATTTGCATTATATTCGTATTACTTACGTTGAGTTTATAAGGATAAGGGGAAAAAAAGCCGCAGACTGTGATACTGCCGGAGCAAACTCTAGACTGTTATAAAGGTTTGATGTAAAGCGTTTGAAGGTATGAAGGTGGAGGAGCCATCTTGTCCTTGGTGATTGTTGGCTATGGTTCATTACCAGTGGTGGTCCATGGCCAACATGCATGCTTTGCCATAGCGACCAGATGAAAGGAAGAACCTAGCTGGTTTATACTGGCAACATAGTTATCCTTCCAGAAGGTGGAGGAGCCATCTTGTCCTTGGCGATTGTTGGCCATGGTTCATTACCAGTGGTGGTCCATGGCCAACATGCATGCTTTGCCATAGCGACCAGATGAAAGGAAGAACCTAGCTGGTTTATACTGGCAACATAGTTATCCTTCCAGAAGGTATGAAGGTGGAGAAGCCATCTTGTCCTTGGCGATTGTTGGCATTGGTTCATTACCATTGGTGGTCCATGGCCAACGTCCATGCTTTGCCATAGCGACCAGATGAAAGGAAGAACCTAGCTGGTTTATACTGGCAACATAGTTATCCTTCCAGAAGGTATGAAGGTGGAGAAGCCATCTTGTCCTTGGCGATTGTTGGCATTGGTTCATTACCATTTGTGGTCCATGGCCAACGTCCATGCTTTGCCATAGCGACCAGATGAAAGGAAGAACCTAGCTGGTTTATACTGGCAACATAGTTATCCTTCCAGAAGGTATGAAGGTGGAGGAGCCATCTTGTCCTTTGTGATTGTTGGCCATGGTTCATTACCATTGGTGGTCCATGGCCAACGTCCATGCTTTGCCATAGCGACCAGATGAAAGGAAGAACCTAGCTGGTTTATACTGGCAACATAGTTATCCTTCCAGAAGGTATGAAGGTGGAGGAGCCATCTTGTCCTTTGTGATTGTTGGCCATGGTTCATTACCATTGGTGGTCCATGGCCAACGTCCATGCTTTGCCATAGCGACCAGATGAAAGGAAGAACCTAGCTGGTTTATACTGGCAACATAGTTATCCTTCCAGAAGGTATGAAGGTGGAGGAGCCATCTTGTCCTTTGTGATTGTTGGCCATGGTTCATTACCATTGGTGGTCCATGGCCAACGTCCATGCTTTGCCATAGCGACCAGATGAAAGGAAGAACCTAGCTGGTTTATACTGGCAACATAGTTATCCTTCCAGAATGTATGAAGGTGGAGGAGCCATCTTGTCCTTGGCGATTGTTGGCCATGGTTCATTACCATTGGTGGTCCATGGCCAACGTCCATGCTTTGCCATAGCGACCAGATGAAAGGAAGAACCTAGCTGGTTTATACTGGCAACATAGTTATCCTTCCAGAAGGTATGAAGGTGGAGAAGCCATCTTGTCCTTGGCGATTGTTGGCCATGGTTCATTACCATTTGTGGTCCATGGACAACGTCCATGCTTTGCCATAGCGACCAGATGAAAGGAAGAACCTAGCTGGTTTATACTGGCAACATAGTTATCCTTCCAGAAGGTATGAAGGTGGAGGAGCCATCTTGTCCTTTGTGATTGTTGGCCATGGTTCATTACCATTGGTGGTCCATGGCCAACGTCCATGCTTTGCCATAGCGACCAGATGAAAGGAAGAACCTAGCTGGTTTATACTGGCAACATAGTTATCCTTCCAGAATGTATGAAGGTGGAGGAGCCATCTTGTCCTTGGCGATTGTTGGCCATGGTTCATTACCATTGGTGGTCCATGGCCAACATCCACTGTCACTGGAGAGGAACGTGCCGCTGCACAGATCACTGACAGTGATTCGTTCCTCTTCACAGCCGCCAGTGACAGCCAGCAGCAAGAGATGACATAGCGACCCAGGCGGCATCAGGGGATGTCCTGGACGGGCCCCCCTGTGCGGTCGCCTAGGTCGCTATGGCGATTGTAACACCACTGCTTCATGGTATATCTGTAGAAGGTTCTCATTCACCCAGTTCATGGTATATCTGTAGAAGGTTCTCATTCACCCAGGTCATAGTATATCTGTAGAAGGTTCTCATTCACCCAGGTCATGGTATATCTGTAGAAGGTCCTCAGTCACCCAGGTCATGGTGTTTCTGTAGAAGGTCCTCAGCCACCCAGATCATAGTATATCTGTAGAAGGTCCTCAGTCACCGAGGTCATGGTGTATCTGTAGAAGGTCATCAGTCCCCCAGATCATAGTATATCTGTAGAAGGTCCTCAGTCACCCAGATCATAGTATTTCTGTAAAAGGTCCTCAGTCACCCAGGTCATAGTATATCTATAGAAGGTGCTTAGTCACCCAGCTCATGGTATATCTGTAGAAGGTCCTCCGTCACCCAGATCATAGTATATTTGTAGAAGGTCCTCAGTCACCCAGGTCATGGTATATCTGTAGAAGGGCCTCAGTCACCCAGGTCATGGTATATCTGTAGAAGGTCCTCATTCACCCAGGTCATGGTATATCTGTAAAAAATAAGTCAAGGCAACTGGACTTGCTGTATTTTTCTTGAAGACGTTTCAATGGTCATCCGACCAGCTTTTTTCAAACCAGGTCATCCGACCAGTGAAACGACTTCAAGAAAAATACAGCAAGTCCAGTTGCCTTGACTTAATTTTTACAGCTATAACAGTATATAAGGAACAAAATGGCTCCCAAAGCTGCCTGGCCAATGGTTCCTAATGGGTCTACAGTCTATGTGACCACTGCTGGTGGCTCCAATCCTTCAGCCTATTTGGCAATTGTTGCCAGCTGTCCATCTAAGGCACAATAATGGTCTAAAATCCCTACAAACACCTTTTTAGAAGTGACCACATGGAGCTGTCTCATCAGTCAGTTGCCTTATTGGCCAAGTGTGTCCCCAAAAAGGGTCATATCAACAAGAATGCTTTTTTGGGGGGGAGGGGCCTCGTATATAGATCTGATGTGCAAAAACCTTTTTACAAATCATCATATTCATCAAACTGTCACATGGTATCACTTTTGTACATGAATGACGAGATAATAGACCTCGGCCTAAGAGTTTGTATTCGTCTTTTGCAATAAATTCACTTTTCTTCATGTTTTGTCTCTTTACTGACCCTGAAAAGTACCCCCAAAAAAATGATCCTGCCAGAAACGTGAAGTCCTGTTGTGGGCACAACTTTTTTGTGGATTGAATGGTGTCAGCCCCGCCCACTGTCTTTTGGTAAACGACTCAACCACTACCAGATCTTAAAGACTAATCATGGTGTAGTCCGAGATAAGAACCGGGAGGGCCAAGTACATTATATGAAATGACGCATGAAGTGTGCAGAGGGCACAGGGCAGCTCTGAATTTCTGGCAGGATCAACAGGTTTTGTTTTTTTTCTCTCGTGCACTTATCGAACACATGTAACAAAATGGGATCCTTACCAGACCAAAGAGAAAATCTGCATGATTTATTATTAGGGATTTGAGTGATATTTAGGTGAAGAGACCTATAGCACCCAATCAGAATTCATCCTTATAAAGTCAGACCTGAACAAGGTGGATTCTGATTGGCCGCTGTGGGTCACTGTAACCAAGAATGACAACCTAGGAACAGAACTCTTCATTATATAACGCAGCCCATGCTGTATGGTATACAGAGACGGCTCTAGAGTTTGCGAGGCCTTAGGCTTAGGCGAAACCTAAACATGAGGCCTCACTCAGGACTGTAGGGTCTTACCAGGGCTTTCTAGGATCTCACCAGGGCTCTATGGGGTTTAACCAGGCTGGTGAGACCACACAGATCCCTGGTGAGACCCTACAGAGCCCTAGTTAAACCAGGGCTCTGTAGGTCTAAACAGAGCTATGTGGGGTCTCACCAGCCTGATGAGACCCCAAAGAGCCCTGGTGAGACCTCACAGAGCCTTGGTATCTGTAGGGTCTCAGCATGGCTCTTTGGGGTCTCACTGGGGCATCAGGACTTTGTGGAGTTCTACCAGGGCTCTGTGAGGTCTTAACAGCGCTCTGTGAGGCCTAACTAGCCTTGTTAGACCCACAGGGTCTAGGGAGACTCCACAGCCCTAGGGAGACTCCACAGAGCCCTGGTAAAACCCTACACAGCCAAGTTGAACCTGTAGGTTCTCACCTGGGCTCTGTTGGGTCTCACCAGCTCCAGGGCTATGTGGGGTCACCAGGTTGGTGAGACCCCCACATAGCCCTGGTGGGACCCCAAAGAGCCCTGGTTAAACTAGGGCTTCGTAGGGTCTCACCAGGGCTCTGTAGGGTCTCACCAGGGCTCTGTAGGGTCTCCAGCCTGGTGAACCCACATAGCCCTGGTGCTGGTGAGACCCAACAGAGCCCAGGTGAGACCCTACAGGTTTAACCAGGCACTGTAGGGTTTCACCAGGGCTTTGTAGGGTCTCACCAGCCTGGTCAGACCACTCAGAGCTCTGGTGAGACCCCCACGGTGCCCTGGTTAAAACGAGGGCTCTGTGGGGTC